TACTCAGAATCGCGCTGACAAGGTCCCAATGGACATAATTCCATGCGCGCAATTGTAGAAATGGCAGAGTAGAGAACATGCAAGTGATATCTACACCATGTGCTTAAATAGCTGGGGCCACTTTGAAGGTGCCAACGAGTTGATGTTCGTCTGTCTAGGCACATCTGGGAATGCCCGCAAGCCAACATGCTCGGTGAACATGTGGGGAGGTTATGTTGAGCAGGGTGTGCAAGTACTTTTAGAGGGGTAGGAACCGCGTGCACGTTGCCGATGAAGCTTCTACTGCATCGTTTGTTTTGGCTCCTACACCGTATCGAGACTGCCCCTGCTGGCACTTTTGATTATTCCCTCGGCTTTGCGCCTGCGTTGCTGCTGCGGGGTCAGGTGAGGTCGACCCGAAAAAGGGCCTCTGACCAGCGAGGCCAACCATTTAGACTTTAAATGCACAGTTCGAGATGTTTCAAGGCAGTCTGAGTTTGCTTTTCCGAGAAGCATCCCTGATGCGAGGGTTCTCGCTTAGGATCTACGGGATGCGGGACCGACACATGGGGACGTGCGTCCAACAATCGCCGCTCGTGGACTGAACGCAGGGCCTTCAGCCGTTGGCTCTTGGAGGCGTAGCGCAGCAGCGACTGCGTGTGGTCCTTGCCGCGCGGCTCAGGGGACTTTGCCCACAACGAAGACATTTGACCACTGAGTTGAACTGGAAGCGCGAAACCCTGCTCAAGACAATCTCATCTTCAGGTCTTCACCTTTGGACAAACAATGAAAGGAACATAGTATTCAAAGCAAAAACCTCGGATGGTGCTTACATGAGCTGATTCCAAAGTTGCTGGAAACATAAGTAGGCAGAACAATGAGACACTTGATGTATGAATCAGGCTTCCCATGCCCGCCACCTGAGTTGTTGACATCCTTTCGACAACGATTCATTTTGATGTTGGGCTCGGGATGCAACAAGCTATGCATCGTTCTGATTGGAACATGTGTTGGTCACTTGCCATTCCATTTGTCAGTCAAACGTTATGTTGACCTGGCACAGAATCGCACCGTTCGTGCAACGATCTCTTTGTAGGGCACACAACGTACGACTTTGTTGTCTACTCAGATTTGGCAAGAAAAGGCACACCAGTACAATGTCGCAGGGAACATCAACCTGCCCTGAGCTCGCCTTGGAGCGTGCCAGCTCTTGCACGGTGCTCTCGATGTGGCCTCACCGCACTCCATATATGAAAAGGTGTTTGACGACACGTAAGAGACACGCAGCCACTTGGATGGTTCCCAAGCTCTTAATGCGATCAAACCTTGCCCATGCAGCAAGCCATGACCCACAAAGCCAACAGTCAGCAGCTCCTTTTCCACAGCTTCTAACAGCTCAGCCGCCCCAACATTGACACAAACACACAACACACACTGTTGCTCAGAAGCCAAGCATGCGTTCCAAAACAAATGCGTGAGGGTTCGAGTGGTGCACTGGCGGCGTGTCCCATCCCACCCCAGCGCAACGCATGCGGTCTTGAGACAAAACCATGTGGCATGGCTGCAGCTTTGAGACAAAACCATGTGGCATGGCTTCAGCTTTGAGACACAACCATGTGACATGGCACAAAGCAAGTGACCCACCCACCCAACAACCCTGCAAGTGACCATTCGCTGCCAAAGTGCCCCAGAAGGCAGTGCATTGGCGGAGGATATCACCGACTTGATGCAGTTCGCACCTTGGTTGCAATGCGTGATAGGCAGCATTGTTGTGCTGAAATGTATTGCATTTTGCATATCCCAACACCTGGAGTCGCCTGGAGTGCTAGAATTCACAACGCCTTGCAAAAAGCACCGCTCCCTGAATCGCAGCCGCAGGCGCAAAGCCCGCAGCAGGGGATGCACAGAGCCAGAGGGTGCCTGGACGCCTGCTGAGTCGATGCTCAAAATGTTTGCAGAACCAGAAGGCCCAAGCACGGCGCGCGAACTGGTCAACCCCAAGACCCAAACACCAGAATTCCGTCATGGGAGTGGCCCACATGCCTTGGTCCTCCGTCCGAAAACTGAACAAGCTCCGCTGCAAGCAACAAATGAAGCTAGTGTCACAAAACATGCAACGCCGGCAACCCATTGACTTGGGTTCTACCAAAATTGCTTATAAAGGTTGCAAATATCCTTACTATACCCCCCGTGAAGCCAGGTACTTGAACCACCTACTCCAAACGTGGTTCTACTAAAATGGTGCTGCTCATGTGTCTGTATGGCATGCATAGCATGCTGACGCTGCCCACACTGACTTATTTGACCCTCACCTGCTCGAACACTTGAGAGCTTCTCAGGAATCAAAGTCCATTCCATCCACTTCAAAGCAATGACTGCCAAACTCGCCTGCAGGCTGCAGTGCCAGCTCTCCGAGCTCCACGGCGGCAGTTGCCGGCGTGGCCGGCGTGGCGGCCGGCGTGGCGGCCGGCGTGGCGGCCGGCGTGGCCGGCGTGGCCGGCGTGGCGGCCGTGGGTGTGGCAGGCATGGCCGCGGGCACGCTCGGCGCAGCTGTTTCGGCCTTCTTCTGGGAGTCCTCGGAGCGCTTCTCCTTAGAGACCCGCTTCTCTGTGCCCGCTTCGGGAGCGAGCGCAAACGTGCTCGCGGAACTCGTTTCACGGCACGCAAGGCTGTTCGCCAAGGTGCAGTGCTGGCAGAGGAGGAGGGTCGGCCTGGCATGACAAGCTCGACTGAGCCAAGCACCTTATAAGATTTCTGGTGATGCGGTTGCCACAAGAAAAGAAACAAAAAGCACTGTTCGGCCAAATCACATTTGTTTGGGAAAACCATGTCGTATGATCAGCACGCACATACATCCCCCTGCTCGCGCCTTCCTCACTAGCACTTTTGGCGGTTTCCGCGCTCTTGGCGCTGGCAAGCCTGATCTGAAGCGCGCTAGTGACTCAGTGACACAGCAGGAGTGACATCAACAGAACATGTCAAACCAATAAATCGACAAGAGTGTTCTAAAACTCCCCTTTTGCGGAGATTCTATTTTCTGAAGCACGCGACAAATCTACGGCGCCCCCCCAATCAGACTAGTCTCTATCTCTGCTGCACGATGCCTGTTTCCGCTTTGAGCAACAAACGCTCCTGAAATCCTTAAACTATGGCTACAAGGAGCAGAAACGCAAACCCACTCATGAACTTTCGAGCTCCACATACGGCCGCTCAAGATTGCACCAGGCAATGCACTTGAAAAGGGCTCTCCCTCAGCCTGTTTGCTTTTCGGCCCGAGTTTCTCTGGCGCGCCCGGGCTCATGAAGAGAAGCTCCACCAAATCCTGGCTCTTGGCCTCCTGAGCACGGGATGCTTATGCCGAAAGGTCAAGTCAGTGGGCAGAACCTTGAAATTTCACCTGAAAGGCTGCCGACTGAGGATAGTTTGGGTCATGGCTTTGTTCCCAGTTGAGATGTAAATGATGCAAAAAGCCTTGCCTTCTTTCTGCGATAGCAATTTGTTGAGGCTGGTGAAGGGTTGTGACTAAAGCAGAAGCTTGTAGTGCTTTCCACTGCCTGGTCATCTGATCGCTGGGCTGCTGGCATCTGCTTTGCCCTTAGCCATCTGCTCCGCAAAGGCCATCAGGCCGTCCAGCAGGTCTTGCCTGCCAACTCTGGGACGGCCAACTCTGTCTGCATCACTTCAGGATCCGGTCTATCACCCTGGCAACTGCTCTGTGTCAGCTTCCCTTGGGCATCAGTAAATGTTGTCCATGTGCTGCTGTCTCAAATCCTCATGAAGGGGTTAATCATCCCATCTGCTACACAACCGAAGGGGTCTTTTGAGAGGCGTGCACCTCCGAATGTCCCGCCTGGTCTGCTGGAGCTGGCTGGCATCACAGAGAGCTCCCTGGCGTGGCGCCTGGGGCAGCCACGCATCGAGTGATGTGTTGGAACTGACGCCCGGTGCGCACCCGTCAACTCGGTCAACTCAGTCGAGTCATGGACTCGCAAAGGCATCAAAGACATCACGCTTGAGACCCAGCGCCTCCACCTGTCCCTCGCTGATGAAATGCTCCTTCTGCGCCTCACGAGCTTTTGCAGAGGCGGGCAAACCAAACGCTTGAAGCCAAGATCGACAAAGACGCAAAGACCAGCAGCAAACACGTGAGCTTCATTGGAATGTCAAAAGTGCCTCAAGGCAGCAGCCCGTGGCTGCCAGCTCAGGGTCCGGTACCAGAACGTGTTTCTAGGCTCGGCATGATTGCTTCCAAGATTGTATGTATACAAAATATCAATATGTGTGTGTGATGTGTTCTCGTGTATCTATTGTATATTTATCTATCTATCCATGCTCTAATTGATCCATGCATTCACGTATCTGCAACAGTAGACATACACATACTTCGCATGCACTACCAAATGGAACCAGAATATCCACACATCTCAATTCCTGATGCCCGAGCCCAGTCGCAAAGAGTGCAGGTCAAAGCGCCAATCCCGTGAAGAGCAAGTTTGCTTGGAATACGGAAATCCGGGCTTGGAATAGTGAGTTTGCGTGAAGTCCCAGGTTTTCCTGCTTGTGCAATCTTTGTGACAAGCGCCAAACCTGCGCGCTTCAGCGCAATGCGGGCTCCCTGGGCCTGGGTGATGAGGCGCCCCATCTGCTGCGAGAGCTCATCGCAGAGCTTGTGCGTGGTTTCGCCATCGCTGGTCATCTGCTGGATCCAGCCTCTGGTCAGTGCTGAATGCCACTGGTCGTGTCAATGAGAACAAAGCATCAAACTCCTCTCTGTGACACGGTGGCGGGCAGGGTCCTCCTTGATATGCTTGCAAGAGAGCGGCAACAAATTATCACGATCGCCAGAATGCTCAAGCGCTTCTCTACCAGCCCTTCGCGCTGTCTTTGGATTGCCCAGCAATGTTGCCATCCGAGCCCTCGAACCCCGCAACTCGGATGCGCCTTCCACCATCCCCAGGAGGTCGAAGCCCAGGTCTGGCTCCGACTCCTCACTTCCAAATCCCTACCCTCCAGGTTTGAAGTGCGATGATTTTGAACGGCACACTTTTACAGCAACCTGGTTAGGCATCGTCCCAAAAGGGTATGACTTTTCATCGAACATGGACACTCTGGTGGGCACCGCACTGTTCTGCCATCTCCGCCAATGTCTATCCGCCAACTGCTCCAAGTCCAAGTTCTAAGACAAAGAGAAGGGCTCCTGCACTGCCAGCTCCAAGTCCGGGAGCACACGCTCCGTAACCTTGCGGGACACCTGACGCCGGATGATGGAAAGGCACGCAGCTGAGCATAGACATTTTGATTCGGGGTCAAAGCTAATCCCTGCATTCTCGGCAGAACATGTTGCAGTTTCTGATCCAGTCTGCAAAGTGCGCCTGCGCGTACGTGCCCACCACCTTTAAAGCGTGCTGCCAGAGCATGTAGGCCTGGAGTGATGGCGCAGCTTGGCACGGCTAGCAGCTGCCAACGTATTGAACGTATTGCTTCATCAGGCCAATGCATTGCTACCAACCCGACCAACTTTCGAAAAACAAGAAACTTGAAATGATCACACTGTTTATTGGTTCTCGACTGCGGCTCCTGCAACAACCAAACACAAAGTGGGTGGCAAGACCACTGAACCCAGTGACCATTGAGGTTGGTTCAAGTACCACACGACTTTTCGCGAAGAACTTTGCGTAGCTGTGTATTTGATGCACAGCAATTCTTTTTGTTGTGGCAGCTTATGTCTTCTGGAAGTGTTGCTTGAGTTTGTCCCCCCTTTCTGGGTCGGAGTTTGCGCCACGATCGGCGGTTTTGTGCACACAAGAAGCACATATATGCATATATGTTACATATACATTACATATATTCATAGGCTTCGAGCAAAGCAAGCTCTTCAATTGTTCCTTAAGTGCACCATGCTGGATGTGCATCGAAATTGTGGTATGGATTGTTCCGCGAAAATCCGAAGGTACGGAACGAGTGCCGTTGGCTCCGAATCCGTTCCTTGGGCTGTAAAACACCGCATGAGCTTTGGACGTGTCCTCGCTGCTCATGTCGTTTTGGCACAAAGCACACTACCACAGCTCTAGCTACAAAGTCACAACTTGTCAGCAGAGAGAGACACACGGAGAGACACACGGAGAGAGACATACGGAGAGAGACACACGGAAAAGTTTAGCGCACAACGTGGACGACTGCAGCTAACTCTTGAGTAAAGTCTAACACGCAAAGCACACTGTCGCAGCTCCAGTCCTAAATGTTCAGTACAAGTCTAGTAGTCAAAGTACACTACTACAGCTCCAGCTACAAACTCGCAGCAACAGCAGCGGCAACGGCAACAGCAACAGCAGCGGCAACGGCAACAGCAACAGCAACGGCAACAGCAGCAGCAGCAGCAGCAGCAGCAGCAGCAGCAGCAGCAGCAGCAGCAGCAGCAGCAGCAGCAGCAGCAGCAGCAGCAGCAGCAGCAGCAGGGGCAGCAGCTTTTCTATGCAAAAGGCTCCGATTTGAGACACTGAATGCTGAATGCAAATCAACATCTTTGATGTCAAAGCGAAGCATGATAAAAAGTGTGGAATGGATTGTAGGTACGTATCAAATATCCTTCAAAACGTATGGATCGCACGTATGGATCGCGCATATAGATCAAAGTATGGATCGTGTGTGGAACACGGCCCTTGATGCATACCATGTATTTTGGCGCGCAGCCTGGATGGGCAAATACTATATGTCCATTCTGCTCCCATGAATTGTCACTTCACATGGGAGCAAGCTCTTTCTCTCTCTTTCCATCCTGGCATCTCATTTGGACCATTTCCAGCAAGCAAAACCTGACGTCAACTCGCGCACCTGCATGATGGTCTCCCGAATCTTTGCGGACAAGTCTGGGTGGCTCTGGCGACAGGCCAGGCATGCGATCTGCAGCGACCGGCCCAGGGACATCCTGCAGAGGCTTCCCCACCCACACTCTCCCAAATGTCAGAACCTGCCCATCGGACCGGCTGGCAGTTTGGACATTTGAGGACGTGCACATATTTGGCTTGCACCGATCTCTGAGCTCCCTGCCTGACCCAAAACGACATCGCAATTTGGTTCCTGCTGTGTGGGATCCCTTTGGCATGCTTGCACAAGATTGGTGGGGTGAAAAGTCCGGCTTCCACAAGAGTCGGAATCCAATCTTCAGACATCCTTGAAACAAAGTGTCTATTCAACTGTTCGAAGGTTGCACCTACAGGACCCTTTTTCCTGAGATATCCATTCCCCAATGCCGGGACGCTCAAAGCCAGCTGCAAACAAGTTGCTGCTTTCAAGAAACTGTCCCTATGACAACAGAATCCCTAGGAGTCAGACACCCCTCGGACACGGAAAAGTACACAAACAACAGGCCCCTCGTAGCACAAGGGTCAGAAAAGGCTCAGACACGAAGTTTCGGGAGACGGAAATTGAATCAAGGAGAGAAACGGACATGACCAGTGTCTGAGTCTGGGCCACCCGGCTGCAGCTGAAGCAGCTGTTGCAGGTCCAGCGGCAGCCGCCGTGGCGCAGGCGTCGCCAGCTGCACCGCAGAGACAGGCTCCGGCTGAGGCACCTGTTGGCTCGTGTGGAATAACTTTAACTAGGGTAATTTGAGAGAAAAGTCTCTGCATTGCGCTAGGAAAACTGAGCTGCATGGTAGCTCGTCCCACGGGAATTCTCTGAGTTTCCGTATGGGAACGGGTTGGAATGGGGCAACTCTACAATGGCATGTTATGATCGTCTTTTCCTCCACACCTCGCGCTCGTAAGCAAACAAACAAACAAACAAACAAACAAACAAACAAACAAAGAAACAAACAAACAAACAAACAAACAAACAAACAAACAAGCAAGCAAAGAAACAAACAAAGAAGGAAACAAAGAAACAGACAAACAAACAAACAAACAAACAAACAAACAAGCAAGCAAACAAGCAAACAAACAAACAAACGAACACACAGACACACACACAGACACACAGACACACAGACACACAGGCACACAGACACACAGACACACAGACACACAGACACACAGACACACAGACACACAGACACACAGACACACAGACACACAGACACACAGACACACAGACACACAGACACACAGACACACAGACACACAGACACACAGACACACAGACACACAGACACAGACACACAGACACACAGACACACAGACACACAGACACACAGACACACAGACACACAGACACACAGACACACAGACACACAGACACACAGACACACAGACACACAGACACAGACACACAGACACACAGACACACAGACACACAGACACACAGACACACAGACACACAGACACACAGACACACAGACACACAGACACACAGACACACAGACACACAGACACACAGACACACAGACACACAGACACACAGACACACAGACACACAGACACACAGACACACACACACACACACACACACACACACACACACACACACACACACACACACACACACACACACACACACACGCACAAACAGGTGTAATTAAGAATCTCAACTCTAAGCCAAAAGCCAGGACTTCTCTTGCTGGAGATTGGCTTCAATTCCATTGACATGTCGACACCTTGCACTCCGAAATCACCTTGGACACCCTCGACCAAAATCAACCGCAGCAAACCGACAAGATCTCAAACCAACGAGACACAAGCCGACCGTCCAAGATCTTCCCCCAACCAAGACACGCTCAACCAGCCCCCACTCGGCCTCAGCTCCCTTGCCCTCCGATAGCCAAGGATGCTCCAGGCAGCCCTGCAGGGAGAGGCGCTCGGCAGGCTTCACCTTCAGCAGCTTCCTGCCGGGGAGAAGACAACCCTGAAACCGAAGGGCAAGAGTCTAGCAGGATGTCAGGTGCCATATAAGTGGAATAGACAAAATATGGCCTCAACAAGAGAACAAGTTGTGAGTCCAATGGTACTGTCAATCTGCTGGATGAACCTGGATCCTTGCCAGCGCCAAACATTACGTCGGTGCCCGCGCTCGTCCAGCGACGTGCCTGATGAGGTCTTTGGCCTCCTCTGAAGGCTCACCCTGCAGGCTGCATGGTGTCAGGATGAATCACACATTCGGGTGACATGTTTCAGAACAGCTTCGTCTGCTTCACGGTGCAAAGAACAGAGCGACTTCGTAGGCGGGCATTCCACTTCACATAGCCGAAGGGGTCGAGAAGCTGAAAAAAATGCACGTGCAAACACCTCAGTCTTGACCCCTTGGCTCTCATGTTCCAAATATGCGTCGTGCTCCAGACAAAAGCGGCTGTGTTCTGGTAGCTACATGGAGCATGGTGCCTCCTTTCATTCAAGCGAGTCCTGTTGACAAGTAAACTTCAACAAGACCCGCATCTGCCCACTGGCGGACTGCACACAAATAGTGTGTTGGAGCAAGCAGCTGAGTGTTTCGGACGCTCAATCGGGCAACTCTCCAAAGCCTCCAGGCCTTGGGCCGGCTCAGGTCGAAGCGCGCCGCCTTGATCTGTTCATTGGCATCCTCTCCTGAGTGAACGAGCCGAAATCGTTCTTGCACAAACGAAATCGACATGGACAAGCTTGTCTCTCAGCCCGGTTGCAGTTGTAAACAGTACTAGTGCCAACGTGTCACTGTGGCAGCTCACAAAAGAGGATATGGAGGGCACAAAGACTATCCAAATGGCTTGCGCTTGACTTCAAAGCAACAGAAGCAAAAATAGGCACTCACTACTGCTGGTGATACAGGCAACTCGGACAAAGCCAAAGCCATTTCGGAAGAAACCAACCTCTTCGTTCATAGATACTTGACAAACTATGGCGAGGTAACAATGCTTGCCGTCTTTGCTTTGATTCCCTCTTCGCATAGATCCAGCAGCCAACGTTGTTTCCATCATGTTCCACCCCACATCTTCAATGTGCTCAAATGTGCAGGAACTGAGCGCCCAACCCTTGAAAGGATATCTGCCATACAGCATGACGTAGAGCCTCGGCAATCGTTGGTGGCTGCCAGCGTTCGCAGGGCGCGCTGGGAAGCAATCCCTTCAAGCCCACTCTGCTTTCTTTGTGCAAAAGCTGCTCATGAGTCTCGGCGGAATGCCTGAGATGGCCTTGCTTCACGGTGCCACGCAAATAGCCATGCGTGCAAAGCGTTAAAGTTTGTCAAGTGGCAGCTGAAGGCATTTCTGGCGGATTCGATCCGATTACGATTTCGTGCTTTCGGGGTGCATGCCCCCCGGAAAGCGCTCCCTGCCACGCCCAGCACTGCTTCAAGGTCTGCAGCGCGTAAGATCACGCCCTAAATTCTGCAACGCTTCATTTGGCTTCACGCGAGAACAAGCACATCATTCTAAAAGGCCGGAGCGGAGTCATGATCAATGGATTTACGCAGGTCCAGGTGTGCGAAAAAGGTCGACAACATTTGTTCAATGCTTCACGCTCCCAACTCTGACTCCACCAAACAGAACTCAAACCATTTTGAGCCCTGCCCTGTCGGCCCTCTCTGACTGGGCCCCTGGCAGAACGCCCAAACTCCAAAGGTCCACTCGCTGGTCGTAGGAGTCCCTAAGGGCTTCCGAGGCTTTCAGTTCAAGTCTGGCCGTGTGTTTCTAGTCGCCTGTCCTGCGCTCTGAAAAGCGCCGGCCTGCCCTGTCCGAACAGCATCTCCGGAGCCCAGTACTGGGGGGTGCCCACAAGGCTCTTGAGCTCCTGAGCTGGGGGCTTTTGGCATTCTCGGCCTGGAAGTATTTCACAAGTTTGGCCTCTTGGTGTCCCTCCAGATTGTGCCCACTCCCTTGGAGGCAGTCACCAAATTGTGAATCGATATGCTTTGTTTGCTGGCAAAATGCAATCCCAACCTGCACGCGACGAATGCCGAAGTTTGAACGGACTGCCAGTCTCACGCGGCTCCTCCTCACTGTACTTGGAAAGGCCATAGTCTGCTATCTTGATGTCGTACAACGTGCAGCCCTGTTGGGGCAGGCCAGTGCTGACAAACCCTGCTGACATTTGAGCAGTCGCCAAGTCAAGGATGGCCAGCCGGTGTTCAAGTAAAGCTCGGCCCGCCTCATGAGGTGACTCTGCTGGCTGCATCTTGGAAATCAAGATGTTCTCCTGAGCTGTGCTGATAGAGCGGATAGAACATAAGCCACCAAAAACAAGGCACCCCCTAGCTCCTAACTCCAAACCAAGGAGTGTGGAACACAAAGAGACTAAACCCACCAGTGAGAAGTCTGATAAAAACCACGAGCAGGACCAACACGCCCAGGCAGGCCTCGCCCTTCGAGCTATCTTCCGTGATTGTCGGGGGTAGCCAGGTTGCGCACACTTGGAACCCTCATTCAGGTGACTTGTTCCGTCACAGCAGCCATGGTCGCAAAGGATGAAAAAGACCATGGAGGATAAGAACGGATAGACGGGCGTCATTGCGGATGTCGCTTGAGACCAAAAATGTAAAAGCTGGCGAGTGCGAAACGACAAAACCGCAGATTGCCAATCACCCGAGCCACGGGCTTCAGGTCCCGATGGGCAATGTGTTTCTGGTGCAAGAATTGCAGGCCCGAGACGATCTGCCGCAATACCTCGGTGCTGTGCCCAGTCTCAAACGCATGTGGCTTTGTTGCCTTTGGTTGGTCTTCAAGGGAAACCAAGACAAATCAAGCCAGTTTGAAGGTTCGGCGAACCCGAATCTCCTTGTGGGCGTAACAACTGTTTCCATAGGGTGCTCATCCCTTTGTTTTGCCTGTAAACTCGGACCACATGAAGTTCAGTGCTGAAAGAAAAATCAACAGGCATCCATCCGCAGATTCTCAACGGACAAAGAAGCACCGCAGCTCTCGCTCAAGCCTTTTGCCAATGAAGCTCCGAATGAATCTAGGGCGCTGCAACTTCAACACACTCAGAACACTGATCGCCAACCTCACAACCTCGGGTGCGGGCGTGCTTGGCCTCGAACTCCTGGAGCGTCCGCTTCTTTGCCTCAGCCGCATCCCCACGTGGCGATGGCGTCTGAAAGGAGCGCATGCTTGGTTTGGCAACACAATCAACGAGTGAGAAAATATAACAACCTCCCATGCATTCAAGAGCAGCGAAGCGCAAGGTTGTCTTCCACAAGTGGCCTTAACACTTCAACGCGGGTGGGTTTTCTGTGAACTCCTAGCGCCTATGCTCCCTGAAAGCTTACATCGACATATTTCCTTCGGATGTCTTGTGCTTCGGCCACCCACTGTCGGTTTGGGGATGGGTTGCCTTGCTTTTCCACCGGGTGGCGATCTGCTCAAAGAGCTCGCCGCCTTCCAAGCGCTCCATGACCAGCACGATCCAACGCTTTGTGCGGTAGATGTCCTCAGCTGGCCATACTGTCGGAGTGGCCATCGGTGGAGCTGAAGACTTCAGAGCAGCGCAGCCCAGTACAAGTTCTGTTCCACTTCAGAAGTAATGGAAAAGGCTGCAGCCCACTCCTTCTACGCCCGAGCGGTAAGCTGAGCAGCAACTTATTCTTTGACCAAGCTTCATACAGGCTGACGCAGTGGTCCTTAGCAGGCGCGAAGCTTCAGCCAGCGCATCACGGACGCTGAATCTGCACAGAAAAACTCAACCTGCAAGCAATTCAAAGTCTTGCACTATCTTTGGACCTGATACCACCTCCATGGAGAGAATGACCGGCCAACTATCCGCACAATCAACTCCAGAGACTGCCCTGGCAAGTTCGTCCAAGCAGCGTGCTCTGCGTTTCGCAGAATCCGCACCTTGGCCGCTGCAGACAGCTCTCAAGCAACTGCAAGAGATGGAGGGATGGCATGCTACAGTGAAGGCGATTTCACTAATCCAGGGCCTCGACCTGAAACAACACCACCCAATCCGACATTAATGACAACGGTGCCGCAAACCAAACTCTGTAAACGTCGACATCCAGTTCTTGCTTATCCCGTTGCAACATGCGTTCACGCTGCGTGTTGGCCTTCACTGGCATCACTTGTGCCGCTCACACGGTGTCCCCTGCCTCTGACTCCAGCTTCTTCACCACAGCCTCTGGATCATCAGCCATCAGCTGCAAGCGCTGAGAGTCCACGACCTCCCGTCGGAAGATCGCGCGGAGACAGCCGAGCGGCACAAAGAAATCGGGTGAGAGGGCAGGAAGCTGGCAAGGAATCCGGGATCCGTTCCGGCTTTGCGCCTTTTCTGCGGAGCATAACAAGAAGTGTATTCAGAACGAAGATATACATTGTTGTGGAATCTCCTTGGCTCTTGGCTGCAATGCCTTCACGTGTGGCCTTCTGACGCACCAGACCCAATTTCCGCAACCACCAGATCCAGAAAATGGTCACTTCACTCAAGTACAATTCAAAGCATTACACCATGTGACGATGTTGGTCAAACCAAGGCTGCACATGCACTGTAAACTGTGGCCGCTGGTAAGTGCCGGTGACATTTCATCTGCCATAGAGATTTAAGTTTGGCTGCGCGTTGGTCTGGGCGGGTGGAGTAACTTCAGGCCAAGGCTTCGGATTGGCTTAGGATGGGTACAAGGCTGGTTCAGGGTTTCAAGGTGATGGGATCTGGTTTTAGGGTTTGATTCGGGGTGGTTTCAGTGTTGCTTGGACTCAAACAGGTTTGGGCTAGTGGCGTGTTTTTATGCTTGATTGGGGTTGGGTCGGGTCCAGCATACGGCTCAAAGCGTGAATTGGGTGCTGGTTAAGGGTTTCGGCACCAGGGTTGGTCAAAATTGGCTTGGAAAAACAAGCTGCTAACGCTGCAAAAAGCCAGAGTCGAACCACCGGGAACAAAGCAAAACCAAAACAACGATTGAATCAGATTGCGCCCCTGTCATGGCACTCGGATAGCTGTGCCATGGGCCATCCCCAAAAGCTTCGCCCTGCCTTTGCTGCTAGCCTCTGCCCCGGCTTCTGCTCCCGGCGGCAAGCGAAGACCTGTGTTTGCGGTATGGGTACCCTTTTTTGGGACGCGACACTTGAAAAGAGCATAAGGAAACCACTCTTTTCGCAGTGCCGGGCATTTTGAAACAAGCCCACATGCGCACCTCTATATATATATATACAGAAGGGCTCCACACGGGAGGTGGGTTTTTTGACTCTGGGCTGAGACCCCAAAGCTTTCAGCTGTTGGGGAAAAACCAAATTGCAGACCCTATGTATCCACGCTGGCTGAGTGAGGGTTTGACATTTTGTGTTGTTGTTTTTTCGAAAGTACCAAGGAAACATAGGCAAAACACTAACTAATCCCTGTGATAGGCTCCGGGTGGTCCGGGAGACAAGGTTCCACACAGGTTCTGCGTCAGACCCTAACTCAGCCAACATGGATACATAGGGTCTGATTTGTCACTTTACGCATAAGGCCTGTCAAAAGCAATCTACCCGTGGGTCCAGCGCCAGTCAGTGGCATCACTCTAGCATCGTTGCCATTGAAGGAGCTGAACCTGGCCTGCCCCTCTGTCAGGTTTGACATGGACCACGTGGACAATTTGAAGACCATCTAACGAGCTTCGGGAGCCCTTGGCATTGAAGGAGTGGCCTGCACTCCGGCACACTTCGCCTCCTTGCCCCACAGGTCACCAACAGTCAAGCGCTTCGACAAGGTCAAGGGCAATTACGTGGCCAAACTAGGGCAACGGCCTGAAGCAGTGACAAGGTGAAAACTGCCAGGCATTGCAGTGGACGCTCGAGCACCTGGCTGGCTGGTGTGCAGCTCAAGAGGAGCAAGGTGCTGGGTGGGACGCCATCATCTCTCATGTTGAGCGAGGCCGTGGTAACTTGAAACAGCGGTGGATCCATCAAAATATTCACCTCCCATCAACGGCTCGAGCGAGAAGCTGGCGCAGAGGGCCAGCTTAGTTCGACAACGATGGCTGTCTGGCAGCTTTGGCACGAGGTATGACGTCACGATCGATGCAGTGGAGCCTTGTGCTTGAAGTCATGGAGACGATTGCCCAACACTTGCGAGATGACTCTCTGCGGCGAACCGAGCAAGGGCAAGGCACACTTGGGCCGCGTCATTGCCATGATGGGGCCCGCCCCTTGAAGTTTGACAAGGCGGGCTTGCAAGTGTCCGTCACAATGTCATCATGCGCTTCACCAGCACAGACTGGGGGTGCGGTAGACGTGGGTCTTGATCGCGCGCTTCAAGATGGGCAGCCAACGTGTCGTCCGGGCCCATGCTGTCATACTGGTTGTCCAGGATCACCCTGGAGCGCCGGGATGCTTTTGTCAAAGTGGGCCCCCCAGAAAGCCTTGCTGAGCGAAAGGTGCCGGCGCCGCCGTGGCAACGGATTTTTGCAGGAGAGTGAGCGGCTGAAAGAGGCCTTCCGCAAGTTCGACAAGCCCGTGGTGGAGCCCATGCCCTGCCAGCCCAGTCCGACACACCTCTGCTGGATAGGCTTTTGCGAGCTGATGGAGCTTTGCCTCGAAAGCTTGCCATTGCAATGTCCAGCCCCGCTCCGCCAGCCAAATGAAGATGAGGCCGCGCAAGCGCAGGACCAAGTCTTCATGCCAGCAGTTGGCGAGGCGCCCGACGATGGTGTGTGGTGGAACCATGGACTGCGTCTTCAATGATGTCTGCTTGGTTGTCTCTTTGCGCAATCTGGGGGCCCCGGTTCCATTCGAGTGGGATGGTCCTACGACCTCTTGAAGCCTTTCAGGATCGAAATGCATGAATGCACTTCTTCGTCAAGATTGCTCGATGGCAAGTAGGATTGAGAAGCACTTCTTTGCGCTCATCCTGTGCAAGGGCTACGTCGAAGTTCTTGATGGGCCGGGCGTGCGGCTTGACCCCTCCCCGTCTTCTACATCCATCTGCAAGCAAGTGACGTAGTGGTCTGCCGACAAATTTCACGCGCAGGCGAAGCGCCTTGCAACCCGATTCCGGAACACCAACACGTCTGTTTGCTCGGTTCCGCAACTATGCCCGAATTCTCAGCGAGGCTCGCCCCCTTCAGCATCACCTCAAGGTCTTGCTCTACTCCAAGATGCACAATGAGGCCGTCGATCGCGAGAAGGCCACACACTTGAGCAAGTACGGAAAGAAGGCCAAGCGGCCCACCAAGCCATACGGTTGCACCAAGAAGCCCGCCACAAGTGAATGGCTGTGTCTTCAATGCTCTCTGATAGCGCGTGCTTGCAACAGACAAGCAGTTAAAGGCACAACACACAAGGTCCATGCACGTTTGCCTGCATCTTCTGAGTCTCAGTCTACCAAAAAATGTAGATCATGGGAGGGGCTGTGACCATATACATATACATACATATATATATATATATATGTACGGCCAATTAGTGGGGTTTGCCCGGACCCTATATAAACCTTAACCCTAAAACTATAAACCCGAAACCTTAACCTCAAAACCATAAACCCGAAACCTTAACCCTAAACCTTGAACCCTAAAACCAGAAACCCTAAACTTCAACCATAACGCTTAACCCTAAATCCATAAACCCTAAACCTCAACCATAACGCTTAACCCTAAATCCATAAACCCTAAACCTTAACCCTAAACCTTAACACTACACCTTAACCCTAAAAAACCTTAACCCTAAAACCAAAGACCCTGAACCCTAAAAGGATCTTAACCCCAAACCTGAACCCTAAAACCACAAACCCTAATCCTGCACCCTAAAAATATAACCTTAACCCTAAAACAATAAACCCAAAACCTTAACCCTAAAACCAGAAACTTGAAACCTTAACTTAAAACCATAAACCCTAATATTAACCCTAAAAAACCTGAACCCTAAACCTTAACCCTAAAACCATAAACCCAATGAGCCACAGGCACCTGGAAACAGCAACCGCATTCTCGTTCCAGGCTGTCAGCTCGAAGCGTGCCTTCTCGGTCGGTCTCTGTTAGAAAGGAGAGTATGTGCTGGCGTGAAGACAAACTCAAGGAGTGCCAAGCATGACGTTCCTACTCGCCACAAGCATGAAACGTTGCCCGCATGAAGGGAACACAAACCTCAAGTCAGCACTGGTCAGAACAGAAGCCTCAACTCAGCACTAGTCAGATACACATAAGCACATATATATATATATACACACCCGGGCGTTGCGTATATATATATATATACACAAAAAATGACCTCCTGAACTGGTTCTGACTTGTCACTCCAAATGTGCACATTTGCCCCCCCCCATTTTCCCACCCTTTGCCTGCCCCTGGGCACCAGTGCCGATGACCTCGGCCAGCTCAACATAGTCACCTGGGCGAGCCCTCCACTTCGTCCTGCGCCTCTCTTGTTTCCAACTGACTTGACTAGTCATCCAGCCTGCATCCTGCATTTTGCTGTCGGAGGGAGATATATGACTCTTTCACCGAATGCCTACGATTGAATTGTTAACGCACTGCAAAGCCTGAAGCGGACTCAATAGCTCTCATGCGGGCAGCAGTACAAACCATGCGTGGCTAGAATGCCGCAAAGAGGCCAGAAAACGCCAAAGGCCCCACTTTACTTCCAGATTTGATCTCAATCTCATCAGCCATCCTTTCTGCAAGCGTGGTGTCATACACGTCTGTGTACCCTTGCGGGTAACACACACGCTGTCACCGGTGTGGTTGCTGTTTGTTACGGTCTGGAAACTACACAATCTGGAAGATGGGGTAACACCTAAGCGATGTAACACATATTATGCTGAGACATTCATAGATGATCGTGCGAGGATTGGTATCTGGGTAATTCACGGATGCATACAGCAACTTTTAGTCAGCTGGGAGGCACGAGCTCTGAAAATTGCCTAGCCACACGGCTGCGGGTGGTCAACCGTCGAAGCTGCACTCAATGCTCCACAAGTGTGGATCGTCTGAAGGTGTGGAGAATTCTCAAGTTTCCAACCAACCGGCTCATCGCGGCTCGATGTTGGAGCTTTGGGTTGGAGGCAGCACCATAACTGACATATTACCCTCCATGACAGGAAGGCCTCACCACCCTCACCTCGACAGCTTGCACCGTCCATGGGCCAATGAGCCAACAGGCCATCTCAAGGGGCATGCAGGAGCACAGCTCCGACCTCACCCGTGAGCAGCTCATCCATGCGATTGGCCCGGGCAGACTTCAGAGCGCCTGGCAAAGCCCCACAGAGCGAGAGTGATCGACGGCCAATTTGTCAGGTTTGGAAGCGACACATCTCTTAATATGAAGCCTTTCAACGGCAAAATCGCTCTCGTCGCCCCAGAAGTGCGCCAAGCGCCTCCGGGCAGTGACACCGGGTAGCCACCACCGCTGCTGGGCACGGGGCTGGGAGTACCTCAAAACAAGCGGGGGGGACGGGGGCGGTGTCCCAAGAAGAAAGCGGCGAGCGCTACGAATTACAGAGCATCCAAAACCCAAAACACCCACATTGATGACATTCCGTCGAAACTCGGTGCTCGGATCCCCACATACCTCTGGCGGCCGCGGCGGCCGTGGCCGTGGCAGCGCAGGTGCAGTGCCTGGTCGGCCACGACTGCCTGGGCTGACTCCGTCAGGGGAATTCGTCGCCTATTTGCCGGTTGGCTGGCCAAGCATCTGTGAAAGAGACCTACTGCAATTCTGCCTATGATAGTCTCGCATGCTGGTCATAATTGGAGCGACCACCTTTCCGACAAGACGTCCTTCACGCCCAGCCCAAAACTCCTCCAAAGGCTCCAGCCTGTAGAGGCCCGAGTGGCCTCCGGCATAGGAGATGTGGGAGGTGAAGGTGTCGGACCTGCCCAGCTCGGTCTCAAAGTCTTGTGGGGACTGCCCAATCCAGGTTATCTTGTCAAAGATCATTCTAAGCTAAAGGCTTGCACCAGCTCATAATCATATTTACCTGCCTCTCCTCCCGCTCGGTGATGCATGGGAGTGGGAGCCTGCAGCGCATTGTCGCACTGGCCGTGCTTCAATGAATCCATACATCCGTGCTTCCGAGGAAACAGCAAGTCAAACACAAAGAAGAGTATAGCATGCAGCTGATGGAGGGTTCCTTTTGTCCCACACAACACTGCCGGCTTTGTTTGTGACAGAATTCCGAAGGACGTGCATGCAGTTCAGACGCGCACTTGCCGAATGCAGGCCAAATGAGCGAGCACAACTGGCGAAAGCGTCAGCTGTGCCTGGCCGCGTCAAGTTTTCACCGTCCAAGACTTGGAGGCCCGGGAGAACAGACAGCAACTCGGTGCCTTGGTCAGCGGCGAACGGTGGAGCCAGCTAGGCCGTACGGAACACCCATGTAAATGATGTCCACATCCTGTGAAATGTCATGCCCAGAAAGAACTTACAAGGGCTACCATGAAGCACTGTTCTAAAAAATGACTACAAGGAGGCTAGCCCACCATCTTTGCGTCAAGCTTGCTGATTGAATAGCTCGCCATAAAACACAACACCTGCATCCAAAGTGCTAGCCAAGAACATGAATTGCAGCATTATTGTACAACAGCAAGGCATTCGCTAACCAAGAATTCTCTTTGGTCCCCCCCCCCCCACTCTCACGAGTTCAGAAATCCAGATACTACCGAACATGATGTCGACTCTCTGCCTCATGTCTTGCAAAGAATCACCCGATGAAGTCAATCGCTGATGTTCCTGCATGGCCCACATGAACAGCCCTTTGAGTCACGTTTGACCAAAACATCTGGCCTGAAAGCTAAGCTCGAACCAACGCTTGCCAAATGTTTTCCCCTTGAAAGTGGACCATGGTCTGGTTGGACACAAAGACCAGAAAGGGTGAAGAGAGGCCAGAAAAACCTGGCTGATGCCGCCCCTTCCCATTCAGGCCCTGACGGCCGACCCCCACGGCATTCTCAGCAAGGTCCAGGACGTGAAGCCGCGGGAGTTGCGCCAGCGTGCGCAAGATGTCCTAAGACAAGCTCAGCGAATTGCCCAACAAGCAAGCGACGAACCCGACTAACCAACCACCCCGCCCCGAAAAACGATTTCAGGAAGTGTGGCGAGACCCAACTTCACCAGAAGATGCTTGATTTTGGCTTCGCTTCAAGCCAGCAAAAGGGCGGTCCCCAATTTTGTCCATCCCGGTGAAAAAAACGGGCGTGTCAGCAAAAGCGACTCTGAGTTTGTAGTTCTCTAGTAGCTCATGCTCGTGAGGCTGATCTGCACCTTCATCACAGTGGCTTGGGCAGCTGGATTAGTTCGTTCATTTGCTGGATATTGAAGGATTGACAAAGAAAACACTCTTGCACACACACACACACACACACACACACTGTCAGATTGCGGCCACGTATGTTCAACTTGAGAACTTGTGTAAGAAAGCTACACTTGCAGCTTCAAATTTGGTCTGGAAAACTGTTGCTATTCGGTCTTCCATCTAGTTTGTCAAATCTTCGCTGGGTTTGTCTCCAACGAGTGTGTTTGAGGAACATCGGAATGGGTGTGGGTTGTTTTCTCTGTTTCCCCTTTTGCAATTGCTGCGGAAACCTGGGGAACCGACATGCACTATCCTCTCAGGGCTCCGATACAGTCGTGCTCCTTTTGCCACTAGAAACAAATACGATGTGTGCATTGCCGCGTCGCGAAATACGTCTTCCTCTGTTATGGGATGCTTGAGCCCCAACTGCCATGCTGCAATGGTTCACAGGGTTCAGGTCAGGTGCGGCGCCTATGCTTATTCATCGCATAGGCATCAAGCGGGCCCCCAATTCCCGCCTCGCCGGTGAGGCGATTGGCCAGCAGTGAGAGCTCCTGCAGCTGCTTGCAGCTCTCCAGGCCTCAGACACTCAGCCTCCGGGCGCCAACTCTCCAAAGAATTCGAAGCGAGAGAAAAGTCCGCGCCCCTCGCCCCATGGTCCTCAGGCACCCGTCCCGCTCATGGTTGGCCCAAAGCTTGAAAACTTATCCCCATAAGCACTCCACAAGGCCTCTCTGTGTGGCACTTGTCGAAAGCAACGCAGGCGCCAAGACAGTCTGAGAGATGCACCCGCGATGCTCTCCACTTGGTTGTGGGCAACGAACGCCTATCGCTCACAGCGAAGGCAAAACACAACTCATTTGACACCTCGTTTGCAGCTTGAGGCTGCAAGGCTTGAAAGCTTTCTTAGCAGTCCACCCCAGCCACAAACTCGATGCTGACACAGTTGCAGCCTTTGTGCCAAGCGTCATGCAAATACTATGACCATCGAGTTTGATTTCGCTGGTATGTTGGGGAGTGAGCCAGAAAATGCAAGATCGGGTTCGACAAGCTCAACACACTCCACATCCTCGACAATCTTTGACTTCGACTTGAGGGCAAATGGCCGTGTTTCTCCAAGCCAGGCTGCCGTTCCGATGCACCCAGACTCAAACCGCGGCTCCTTGGAGAGTTGCTGGCACTCGAAGAGGGGACTCAGGTCCTGAGGCAAAGAGCCAAGGGGCAATATTTTTGGGAAACAGCATGCAGATGGCAACACCTGTTGTTGCCTCGCCCCGCTCCTGGATCTGGTTGAAATTCAAATTCACCTCGCGAACCAGGAAGCATGGACAAGTCGCATTGCGCCATCCTACAGACATGCCGCTTTCCACTGATAGCAGCCGCAAGCAAAAGAGCCACTGGCCTCCTCAACTCTCAAGGTCATGGGGGACCCTTCTACTCTTGACCAGCGCGTCAACTCCGCAAGTGCGCTTCATTCATCTGAACCAAGCCTCGCTGAGCGTTGTCAGCGTGCAAAGGGGCTGGATGTCGCGCAGCTGGTTGTGGGACAGGGACAGGACCTGGCCATTCACTAACCCTTGCGTCTCCTTCCCTCTCACTGAAATAGCTCCTTCGTGCCCTAAAGCTCCTCAGCCAAAACGGCTCAATAGCCTCTGTTGATCCGGAGCATGCTGTATCAAGCCACTTGTCATTGCAAACACAGCCTGACCCATGTTGCAAGATGTTGGGCCAACAGCCCCACGTTTCTCTGCGTTTTGCACACTTAGCTCTAGGTGAACTAGATGATGTTACATATCATTCCCGAATCTCTAGTCGGGCCTTTGAAGGCTGTGCCATGTTGAGCATGCTTTGGGACTGACTCTCTACAACATTTTGTCACAGGGCTGGTTGGTTCTTCCCACAGTGAAGCGGAACCAATCAGATCATCTGAAGCTTCATCGTAACCAGTCAGATTATGACGCTTCAGCGTAACCAATCAAATTGTACGAAGCTTTAGCGTAACCAATCAGGTATAGACAGATCGCAGCTGCCTACTAGCCTCTCAAACAAAGCCAGATCTCTCTCCCGACACTTCGGATCCCAACCCCACCGGTTGGCCCCAGGCTGACGTTCCAAGGCAGCCCGGGTCGCACCTCGAGGCTCTGGAGCCGCGCAAAGTCCACAGTGCCCGGGCTGCGGAGGCTGCTGAGGCGCTGGAAGCGGAAGACCAGGTGCCGCACCTCCTCCACCTGAAGGCGTTGTGTCTTTGCTTGGGGTTAGTGGTGGACGTCATTTGCACGGCTTGTATGTCCACCACGTATCCTGTACCTACAGGACATGAGCTACCAAACAGTCCGTCTGGGGCACTGGCAGAATCTTCGCCTTCGGATTTCAGCAGCGGTGGGTTAGTCTGACAGATTCCATGCTGCCCACCAAATTTAAGCAGGATTGCAAAACAAAACAGGAAATGGCATAGTCTCCAGGAATTCATGTAAATAAGGCAGCCCTTTGCAATCTTGTGAAACCAGTTGGCACGCGAGGGACATGTGAGTCATGTGGTGTACAAGCCCGGAGTTACTGACGGCCTGATGCCACGAGCACGGCATTCTCTGAAAGCTCAGCAGGACCTGGCGCAAAGTGGCTGTATAGGTGCCCGGGGCCATCACCCTCCGCGGGCAAACTGCTCATGTCCACTTCAAAACCCTTCATATGGCCATGGGTCAAAATCCCGTACCCCCAGTGAACATCCCAATCCCCACTGGAAATACACTAAAATGGGTGATGCACCTATCCCAAAATGGTACCATTGGTTTTGACCCACAGCCATATCCGAAGGGTTTAGTTCCAAAGGTCGAAGGCTGCACTGATCTTCTTTCCAGCCCGCGGTGCCTCCCGTGGCAGGGCGGCTGGGCCGATCATCCTGCAAAGGCTCAGGGTGTTTTGTGATATGATTTCCTCTTGCGCCCTGCAAGTCTTTCTGAGTAGTATTTTGCAGTAGGTTTACACAGCCTACACTGATTCGATTCTCCAGAACATACAGCCACCCATGCCTGCGATGCATCCCAAGAGCTTGAGACCAGCTCCTGCAAAGCTTGGACCCCTTCGACTCAATCGGGCAATGATGGGCAACATCGCTGTTGCCACGGCACGTGCGGCAAATTATTGCACGCTTGCGTGGTAGAAACCAAACAAAAAACGACCATCAACTATTCTGTTTCTTTCAGCCTTTCAGCCCATCACTGTGCTTCCTCATGCTGCAACTCTAGCACAAGGCCCAAAGGTTGTGTCGACGTTTGGCCCAAGGGGACAGAACATCTGTGCATCGTCCTCTATGGCTGCCAGGCCCTCTGCCAGTTCGGCTCGCACCTCCTCTCCGGGAGGACTTGGTATGAGTTTACTCAGCGCAAGCACGCTGAGAAGCAACACATCACAAGAATCTGGAAAGTCGCCAGCACAAATTGTAGGTCAATGCTGCCGTATGCGGCGAACCCCTCATGACTTGGCTGGGACAGTCTCTGGGAGGGCTGCGCATTGGCTCGTTCCCGCGCGCAGAATCCCTCAAGCTCCTCAACCTCATCCTCCTGCTCTTCCTCATCGTCCGGCTGGAGGCCTTGGTTTTCAAGCATGAGGGAGTTCTAGGTGCACAGGCAGTCCACACTCCTCTGCAATTCAATGCCTTGTCTTTCTGAAACGACTGGTCCGAATTTCAATGGACTCCTTCTTGCTGTCTCTATCCTGCCTTCTAAGACCTCCTTTTGAAGCTGCTGCAGGTCCTGCGTCAGCTTCAAAAGTTTCACAGGCCACAGTGCCAAACCCCTCCTCCGGCAGCCCGTAGTTGGACGTCAGCATTCCCATCACTCGCAGAGCTAAGGTGCTGCCATGTAGGTCCAAAGCAAATTTGACTTGGGCCGGTCAGCCTTGGGAAGCACTCGGGAGTGTGGTTGAAACGCTCAGGCTCCTCTGTCAGTCTCTGCAATAGTTTCACGATAGCATGTTTTTCCAAAGACATGGGGCATAACCAGGCTCAACCTCCCCTCAATCTATTTGGTTGGTCAGGCTGGCTGTCAAACACGTGGGCAGCAAACGCGGTGGAGGCTGAGATCTGGGGCAATCTGAATCCCTTGTGGTCAGATGCCAAATTGACAGATTGATGCCAAGTCCAGCTACATCTCTAACAATAGCATTCAGCCTGTCTCTGTCAATGTACTTACGCAGTGTCCCGTGTATCGTCTTGTCCCGTGTATCGTCTTGACATGCTTCGGCTTGGGCATAATTTCGAGCGGTCGCCAAATTCAAGCTACACAGGCCTAACAGCAGGTCACCTTGGTATTGCGCGTCCAAAGCTATTTTGCAACCTAGACAAACAACAACAGTGTATATGTGTGTGTTGTGTGTACTGTGTGTGTGTTGTGTGTGTGACGTGCCAGGCAAGCAAGAGTGAGATGCTGACAAACGAATGAGGTCCTACTGAACTGGAACATGGCCCACATCTATTCCCCCACCAACTGGCGTGGCAGGAAGGGGCAGTCAAAAGCGAGCTGGGGCAAAGACTACAAAAGGTGGGTGGATTGTTCCAGAGGTAAAAGCCACCAGGGTGGATCAGGAGCTCATTGCAAGGCCGAAGCCTTGCAACAGAATGTAAGAACCCCCCCCCCCCCCCAAAATGGGCTGATCAGGCATCAAGCCACCAGATGAGCCGTAGTGTTCCCTGCAAACAAAACCACATGTCCAAATGAGGATCACCGGTAGCAAAGCAAAGCCCAGGCCCTGCGCTCTTATGTCGGGGGCATCTGTTTTTCCTTGTCAAGGCAGCGCCGGAGTTTTTCGGCGCCGCTTGGCTTGACGAAACGACGGTACATTACATGTGGCCTTTGAGCGGTGCCGAAGCCCTTGGGTCAACTCAATTCGGAAAGCACGACAAAACTAGAGCGTCCTCATTCTTCGTGGCAAGCGTAGATCGTGGCTGCGTGAGGGCTCGGCCCTTGAACAACAAACAGTTATTCTTGTTTCGCAGCCCACCGAAGTGAGTGGATAGGCCTTCAAAGGGGACGTCACGATCATGGGGTTGATGACAACCGCTCAGAATGCCTTGATGATCTTCATCGTTCAGTGTTGCTTGAAGGCGCAAAGTAACCAACTTGCAGGGATCAGTGCTCTTTGTTGATGCCATGTGATCCCATTAAATAATTCTGCAGAATGAACTCGATGCATGCGTATTTGTGTGATGATACTCTTTTTGGGTGGTCCAAAAATGGAAAACACTACAAGTGCACTCAGACTACGACTGTGTATCAGACTAGTCCCGCCGGTTGCAGGCTCTAGCACCTAGATCAACTCGAATCCAACAGCCCGGCAGTCGATGGCTGCTCATGCACCAAAGCGCAGACTGCCCTGGCCCTCACGCACCAACGCTGCTCGGGTCCTGCAAGAAATTCTCAGCAACTAATCTCATTGACTCTGTGCGACAAACATAGAGTGTCCACTTCAAGCCATGCTGGATGATGTGCAAGCAAAGGCAAATGAATGGCAACAAGATATTGGGACAGTCTCCCAAGCTTCAAAGGCAACCCCGGCACAGCCCGTGGCCCCGTCCTCCGGTTGCTCTGGAAGCCCTGGCGCGCCTCCTCGCCGCAATACTCTGCCTCTCGCAAAAAAAGCGGACGTGAGCATAACCCTTAATGAGGCAGACAAAAGACTGATTCAAGGGTTGAGGTGCCACAAATAGCCACTCCCAACACACAAACAAACTACCAAGCGGACGCAAGTCACAGGTCAATTCAGTGCGCCGATTGGGACTCGGTATCCTGATCGAATGAAGCAAGCACTAACAAGCATACGCGTCAGCTTGCCGCACATGGCAGGCCAGTTAGCCTCTCTTCAAAGACAAGGCTTCCCAGCACCCCTGCCTGCGTGACCTTAACATCCTGTTTTTCCTGGCGCAAGAACGCAGACTTGGACACTCATGGGGCCAGTCTGGCCTTCCAGCCAGGCCATATTCAAGGCGCGAAAAGCATATCACTGGTATGAAAAGAAACGAGGACACGAAACAGTTTGGGTAGCATGATCACCTTCCCGTCCAATCTGAGGTCGCGATATCAAGCAGCTTGGTTTTTGTTTTACATAGCAGAAAGAGCCGCGCAAATGCGAGAAGTTCAGCAAGAAGTTCAGCAAGCGATCCGAAACTTCCGAGTTGCGCCGTCGCCTCGCGGGTCAGCGCAGCGTCGCGGCGTGCCGCCAGGCGCTTCCACTGCAGCACCTGAGCTACGCGCGTCGTGAAGCGGTATAACGCGTTGTGTACATATGTTATGTGCAGTGTTGTGTACATGTCGTGAATGTATGTATATGAATCTATGTTTTTCTTTATATATATACAGTATGCTACCCCCGCCCCCTCAGTCTTTACTCAGTTTTGCCCAGTACTCAAGTTGTTGGCCAGACTGGGGGGACTCTGAACTGAGCTGACAGGACGCGCAACTCCATGCAGAGTCAAACCAAGCAGAAGTTAAACTCAACATTCAAAAGGAGCTGCTAGCACATCCTGGATTCCTAAGTATAGAATTGAAGAATCTCAGCAAGAGTTATCAGCTAATCTTCAATCTTCAATCTTAAATCCAGGATATGCTAGCACGTGTTAGCACATCCTGGATTGCACTAAACAACTGATGCAATTGTTGCTAGGTCTAAAAGCGAGTGCATGGTTGAGCATCATTTTTAGAAGCTGAAAAGTGCATTTCGCATGCAGTTCCACAGCCATCACGTCAACTGAACCAAAACCTGAGTATTCCAGTGGGGGTACCATATGTGTGTATGTTTTTGTATATTACATGAAGTGCATGTATGATCTATATACATGCCATCGTATCGCTTCTACTCTGACTGTTAACGCATTGCCCTGGCCCAGGTCCAGTCCTCCAGCCTTGCAATCTAGCAAGTCTTTCTTTCTTTCTTTCTCTCTCTCTCTCTCGCAACAAACACCAAACCAAGAATTTGAACAAGTTGTTCTTTCCCAACCTTTCTACCCTTCTCGAGACTGACTGCCTGAAGCTTGTCACGGCCAAACAAAACCATAGATCTAAGATCAACTCTGTGGCTGGCAAGCCCAGAGTCGGTCCATGCTGTCGCCAAATCGTGGGGAAAGCTGGTGCATCACAACATCCTACACTGACCAAACAGCCTAGAAACGTCCACCCCCAGCCCCCCTCCCCAGGCACCTCAGCTGCTGAGCTACCTTTGTCGAAGCTCACCTAGCTCGCGGCCCCCGGAAGCCAAGCACATGAGTGGCAGCACTGCCCACAAGGACCCCGTTTGGTATCCAACGTGAAAAGTCTAAAAAATAATAACATAATAACTTTGCTTATGCTTGACATTTCTTGAAAGCCTTTCACCAGAAAGTTGCGGCTCGCCCTTGCGGACTCTTTTGGCCGGCTCTCCGCGCAGCAGCGACGGCACTGGCAGGTGAAGCCGAAGGCCTGGCACTCTGAGACGAATGACGAGCTGACGAAGGGCCTGGCAATGAAAAAGCAAAAGCCATTCGTCTCAATCGACTTGACACCCACTCTCCGCCTTGCGCAAGCGCTTCCTCCGGACCTGACAAGCAGCGTCTCACTGGCTGCGACTTTCGCTGGCCCGCCTCACAAGTTCCAGTGGTTGGCAGGTACGCCACGGTCAACTCTTGACCCCGCTTCACGGACTTTTGCGTCTCCACCACCAAGATGCCCCCGCGCATGAACCAAAGGCACCTCATCTGACAGCTTCGCTTCGGAGAAAACCTTGGACTGCCATGGTTAGTCTCATGTCGCGCGGCGTCGGGGAGCAGGAGTGGTTGAGCATGGCGCCGGTGGGGTACAAACCAATTCCTGACAGGCAGAGCCTCTTGAGCCTCGAGCAGACTCTCCTACCGTCCTCTTTCTGAGTTCCCCGCCTGTGTCGCGCCAGCGCCCTTGTCCAGCGCGGAGCGGCTCCTCCGGCACCAGCGCCATAGCATTGAAGGCGAGCCTGACGTTGGCCGAGCTCGGAAGCTTGCTTGAAATCTCTGGGCTTGCATCGCAAGCAATCATCAACCCGTCTCTGCTTGGGAGGCAAAACACAAGCCACTCCAAAAGCCTTGAGTACGTAAAGGACTTGCTGAACTGCATCTATTTGGAGACGCTTGAGGCAGACTTACCCCAAGCCGCAAAGGTTGTCGTTGCAATTGACGTGCCCGGCTCTCAACTCTCTGAAGCAAGCCCACTGCCATTTGGCCTGGCTGCTTGCACCAGTCTTCACTGAGCTACCGCCTTGCCATGCGACACTCAACGAAACTGCCCGCAGTTCCCTGCCAGCCTACAAAGCAGGTGATAGATCTCTTCCCTGGCGGCTGTCACCAGCAGGCGCACCGCGTTGGCCCCACCTGGCTCTGTGACTTCAGATGAGGGGGCCTCGTGCCCTGATCTTTTCCAGAACACTCAAAGCTCTGGCCTTCCAACTGATATGCTCGATCAGGCTGCAGCGTCTGCCAGGGTCGAGTTTGAACCAGCCCTTCCTGTTGCAGCATCTTTGAACCTCTGCGGAAAGTGTACTTCTCGTGTTTGTCCATAACCCATGCCTGGCTAGGTGTCTACATCATGATGTATTCCCGTACATCAAGCAAACGCACCCTCGTCAAGTTGCTATATAAGCCAAAGTGAACAAACATCAAACCAAGGCATCGCATTCGATGAGCCCAGCTCAGGGGTGCATTGCCCGGAACATGAATGGGAATGCAACAATGCAGTGGAACAAGAAACCTGCAGGAAACCCGCAGCAAACCCGGCAAAGACAATTCATTGCAGCCTCCACCATGGCATCCAGCTCGTCCTCCGCTGGCGCCAAGGCCTCCACGTCGCGCCAGCTGTCATGCACCACGTCCTGAAAACTGCGAGTTCTCAGCACAGGGTGGGATTGCCGCGCTGTTCCTGGCTGGGACTGTCCCCTACTGCACTTCTCCTGGCCTCCGTTTTCTCCCCCCCCTCCCGCGCCTCCTCCGGTAGCCAAGCACCGTCTTTGTCCCCCAGCAGCGGCACCGGGGCCTCCTGGCGCAGGCTCCGCCGGCGCCGCGCCAGCAGCCGCACCGCCAGCCTCGGGCGAGCGGCATTGGCTCCAATTTCAGAATGCCCTTTCGATTGAGGCTCCAGCCGAAGCATGCTCGTTGCCTCTCTGTCATGTCCTGCAGACTGAAAAGACGGAAAACGTGACAACGGACCGTCAACGCGGACCGTGCCTCGCAGCTTGCCTTTGCGCTTCAAGCCGCGAAGGCCCAAGCGGCGCCGGGTTGCCCCATCCCGGAGCTTTGCCAGGGCCCGACACTCTGCCCTGCAGGCGAGCCGCGAGCACGGCAGCGTGCGGTTTGTGCTCAATTCAGCTCTCAATATGTGCTTCAACAGGGCTCTCCAGCCCCACTTTCCGGAACTCTTCCTTCCCCTTCCATCCCTCGGTCTCCGGGCCGGTGCTCCGCTTGCGCAAAGGGCGCCCTGCGGCAGCCCCGGCAGAAGCGCGCGCCGCCGCAGCGGCAGGGCGCCGGCGCTAGGCCCAGGAAGGGCTGCAGGCAGCGACTCGGGAAAACGTGGGAGGTTTCAGAGCGACGAGAGGCTTTGCGGCTTTGCGGTTGGCCTTGGCCTCTGTTTAGGCTTTAGTTCAGGACAAGAGTTTTTGGATTTAAAGCTGAGGAACTGCTGCCACTTCTGGAGTAGCCTAGGAGATCTGTCAAGTTCTGACTGTTTCTACAGTGTCCGGGAGGGTTGATCCATCAATCATCTAGAATCGCAACGATGGGAGAACAACAAAAGCACTGCATAGTATTCCTTCACCTTCTGTGGCAACCCCACGCAGGATGGGGCTGGCCACCTTCTTGATCTTGAAATTAGCTAGCAGTATCCATACCCCTCCTCGCCCGGCATTTTCTGAGGTGAGCTTCTCCACACGGAGCTCCATATGAATCTTGCTATGAAATCGTCGTGACCCAGACTGACTGCATGCAACCCCCTGCTGATTGCAATCAACTCTGAGATTCGCATTTGAAATCATGACATGTATGCAATGACTCTACACATTCATTCCCTTCAGACTCGGGTTCAACCCTTCAAGGCAGCCAAGATATCCATCCGCGGGCAACAGCGGCCCGCAACTGGCCTGCAATGGCTTTCTACCATGTCATCGTGGAGCACTGCCGAAACTGGAGCGACCCGGAGAACCACCTGTGCAAGTGTCAGAAGAAGGAAGCAGTCCAGCGCAAAGCCACACAACATGCCAATGTTTGGCCAGTGCTCCTTCCAGGCTTGCGTCTTGCCGCATACACGCACCAAACATCCACATAAAGGCCACCAGCCAGGCTCTCAAACTCCATTCAGTATCTCTAGCTCAAGAGCCAGCCCACCACATTCGCAAAGCTCCTCCAACACCGCGAAGTCCAACACTCGCACCATATTCAGACAAAGAGCTACAACACAATTCATTACTCCAGGTCAACAATCTCTGGCCTCACCCTTGCGCAAGTCCCTGGACGCTGCATAGCCGCGGCCAGCCGTGGTGGACTGGGCTGTTGACAGCCAGGATTCCATTGCAAACCCGCCAAAAAGTCTGGAACAATCTCTGGCACTTTGAAGCCTTCGCATGCACTTGACATCATGTCCTGGCAGCCCTATGCGCAAAAAAAACATGGAGCCCAGTTTCCACCAGCTTCAGCGGGAAGCTTTGTTCCTCAGCTGGCAATGCAGATGACTGCTCAGGTGGCCGCATGCGGTATTTGCTATTTCTGGCCAAACAAGTGGGGCCTGGCTCGCCACCCTTTGCAATCATTGCATGCTGGTACTGGTTTTGTGTTCATGGTAGATACGCCTTGGAGCGCACGGAAGCTGTTGTGGCAAATGATAATGCCAGACTCACGGAATACACACTGCATGCTGCATAGCAGAAGAAGGCATGCGTCTGCCTCAAAATGTTGCAATGGCAATGTTGCGATGCGCAAGACATGCTTGTAGCAAAGAAAACAAGATTTCAGCCTTTATTAAATCGGCCAATTAGCGCATGCAGTTTCCTGCAGGCCATCTGATGCGCTTCCTCTGATTGCATATTCCTTATTGATGCCATGTGTTTATGGAATGTCTGGACTTCCTGGTATCCAAGTAGGCTAGGCTGCAACTTCAAAGCCGAGGCTCCATGGCTTCAAGGTTCCGTCAGCGGCACAAGCTGTACATGGGGCCTCAAGGCACTTCCTGAACCAAGGAAATGAGATTGAAAGCGTTCGGCATATTGTCCTCGCATGTTTGTGCAAGCCCACCAAGGCCAAACAATGCCGCAACTCTTAAGGATTCTCCGCATGGCATCAACTTGAACGTGTCTCTGCGAGTCCAGCCAGCTCGAGCAAAGGCTGAAAAGGAGGTGGCGGCACGAGTTCTGACCAGCAAGGCCCCACGCATGATTTGGAAAGCTCACTCATCCGGAACAACTCCATGGACGTTCGGCGACATTGGCGGCTGTTGAAAAGGGAATTGTTCCGAACTACGTGACGAATGCGTCTAGCACACGCATCCATGCAACTCCCGGGCCTCAACAGGCTCTTTCCAGTATCCGATGGGCAATGCTAAATGAGAGTAGATGAGTCATGCCGAATCAAGAACTCTGCAAGGAAATGCGATTCCCCCCTCCAATGTCGCTTGGCCAAGCTAGCAACGCAGTCGACACTTGTGCCTGCTGCTGCTTCTTCAAGGCATCCCGCGTGAGTGGTCCCTGGAAGGCACCACGGCTACCACGCCAGTCCAGTTGTAAAGGCGGATGGAGGGAACGCCTACGAGTGCCGATAAGTGATTAGAAGTCACCTCTGATCCTGAAACGCATATATATATATATATACATACATACATACACATATACATATGGATGTGTATATACATATATATATATATATATTATAAACAAGTGTCCCTCATTGCAACCCCATACATCAAAACCTCGGAGAGGATCACATGGCCCAAGGGTCGCTGCGAAACGCCGGCCCAAGGGCCCGGCCACAGCAATCTGCCCCGCTGCGGCGAAGCTGGTGCCTGGCCACGCTAAGCCGGCCACGCGCGCAGAGGTGCGCTGTGGCCGTCCCATCGACCCAAAAGGGGTGCGCCCAGCAACAGCTTCCTGCGCAGGTGGCCCGGACGTCATACGATCCAATCATGGAATGGAGCATCTTTTTCCCCATCGAACACGAGAAGATCTGGCAGCTGTGCTGGCCGTTGCGCGGAAGTGGTCGGTGCGGTGTTCCCCAAATTGTTCCTAGATGAATGGGTAACGTGTTCATTTGGTCTTTGAGGAGCTGCAATGAATGCCTGCTTCAGTCGACCACAAGCCCTGCCTGCTTTGTTAACAATCACTGCCAGCTGCTCGCGAAGTTTCTGCACCTGCTGCCAAAGCCACCCTGACAAGCAAAGCTTCTCAATGGATTCGTTCGGGGCTGAATAAGGGCTGGGAGGAGACAGAGAAAAAATGATTTCCGAGCAAAAAGGCAAATCAATGTAGATAGATTGGAGACATTATTGCACGGATGGCTGGCCAAGTCAACATGTAGCATGACTTGGCCACGCCTTGCGCATGGCGACAAGCCCGCACCAAGCCCTTTCTTAATCAACATCAACAAGTTCAAGCAAACAAAAACACACTTTGCGTCCGCAAGCCTGATCTCCCTCATTCATCATGTTGTTTCTGTGTTTGTTTTCCGCATGTCACGCCGCAGGTGTCCTTGGACAAAAGGGTCCTGGCAAACTAGAACGAAACTCAAACCGATCGAACCCATCGGTTTCTAACTAGATATGAAAGGAGGCCAGGCCTACGTTCACACCATCGCAAGGATCTAGGGGTACCTTCCCCCATTCTTTCCAGGCATCCTTCTTTCTACAAAACCACCCAAATTGAAAAGAATGAGGAATCAACCCCTAGAAAGGAAGCCTCCTGCTCTGCATCTCCGCGGAGCCGCCGCTCCCGGCGCAGGTGCTGCCGCTTCTCCTGCGCCCGTACCGCAGTTCCTCGGGGAGACATGCTTCTCAAAATCAGGACCCCTCCAGGTAGTTTCTATCCAAGGGTTCCCTGTTTGGAGACAAACCCACGTACCAGCAAAACCGGCGGAGTCGGTGGGGGCACACGTTTCAAACATATAACACCTATAACTATAGTGTGTGGAACACGCTGGGTTTCTATTATGTTGTTCTTTCTTTCTGTCTTGTCTTTCTTTCTTTCTTTCTTTCTTTCTTTCTTTCTTTCTTTCTTTCTTTCTTTCTTTCTTTCTTTCTTTTTTTCTCTCTCTCTTTCTCTGTGTTTGTCACTATCTTCTTCGTTCTCGTTCTATTTGTGTTTCTCTTGATCTTTCTCTGTCTCCCTCTCTCTCTCTCTCTCTAGTAGGGTCGCCGAAAGTCCACAGAGGGTTCACCTTTTGACGGCTGCGCAAGCTGAAAACAAAAAACATACTAGTTTCTGACCGTCGGCACGCCCAAAGCGTGCAGAGGGTCATGCGAGCAAATTAAAGAAATGTGTTCCGGAAGGTCGAACCCCTGAAAGCGGGCAAGGGGGTTCTGCGAGCGAAGTGAAAATCGTGATAGCTTGTCAGAGTCGACACGCCCAAAGGCAGAGAGTTCACTGATAGAAGGTTGCAAAGCAGTGCGCACGGCCTTCCGTCTCCGAACATGGTCCGAACCCGCTCACCTGCCTTAGAGCTGATTTCATGCACGGGGCAACGCGTGTTTGGGCGGCTTCTATTCCCCAGCTATCGCGCGTTCTAGCTTATTTTCACACGCAGCACAGCAGTTCTATGAGATAGCGAAACTCCATTTGTTCCAGCACCACGGAAGTTCCTTCCAAACTGTGTCAAATAATTGTTCCTCTTAAGTCAATCCTCTGCAGGAAGGGAAATGCGTTGTCACCTTGTATCAGTCCACTACACACTTTCCAAGACACGGTTCAAACATGGTTGAATGGCACGCAAGACGGCCCAGCCTCAAACCCAACAACACGGAAATGCATCCCTGGTGGTACCGCAGAGTATGGTTGATCATGAAGGAATCGGTTTCAAGCCCCTGTAGTGCGGCTCTAGCATGGCTATCTTCCAGCTTGCGCGCAACCTCAACGGTGGCTGCCTCCACATTGGCCGCCCTTTTTCCTGGCGATGCTCCCGCAAAGGCAGGCTCCCTCTAAACCCTGGGCCGCATCCAAAGGCCCCAGCCCTCTACCGGTGCCTGGCCCAGGTCTACAGCCGACAGGGCAACTGTCGGCTAAGCGAATTTCTTGCACCGGGAGACCGCCTTGCACAGAGGTGGGCCCGGAGAGCTCTATCCGAAAGCCACATCTCCGGCAGTTTCCAGATGCAAGGCTAGAGCGTCCTGCCCGCGGGCGGTTTTTCGGTAACCATTGGGCTCAGGGAAGAATAGTCAGCGCATTGAAGCATTCAACACCACTGCGAGTAAAGGCTCGGTCCAGGACGCTGTCTGGAGCAGTTCCGAGCCAAATCCCACCAGCTGCACCTGGTTGATTTGGCAGCGCCCTAGAAATGCTCCAAAGAAACATTCAGGTAGGTGTGGACCAGTTCTGGCCTCTCCGAAAAGTCATGAAGCAAGGCTCTTTGGAGGCACCTAGTGACAACAACACTTCAACAGCGAGGCCGTGAGAGTTTGGGCCACCCCACGTTGAATTCATGCAATGCTAACACTCAGCGTGACCAGTGCAGCCGACAAGTGCAGCCACTGAGAGGTACTCGTGCCTGCAAATTGCGGCAAGCGCTGCGGTGACAGAGCTACACACACAGCCACACACAGAGGGCAGGTGAAAGCGTTCATCCCACTGGGATTTGTCAAATAAGCGCCATGATGCGGAAAAGGAGTGCTTCGGCCAACGGCACAAGCCCTGGAGCTTTGGTTGGCCGAACCAGAGGAAGGTCCCTCGGCTCCTATACCCAAACTTGGTTTCTCTCCCAAAAGGGTTTCCTGCAAAAGAGGGACACCCAACTGTCTTGTCCACATAGCCTGCCGTCCCCGGCCTCAAGAACTTCCGACGCACCGCCTGCATCTCGCTCTGCGGCGACTCCTGCCATGGAAGCACAAAGTAATACTAGATGTTTTGGATCACAAATGGTATTGTGGTGTGTGTGTGTGTGTATCCATGGTCAAATGCTGCTGTTAGTAGGATGGTTGTTTGCTTCATGACAGGAGTGTTGACCAAAGCTGTCCTGCTACAAGTAGTGAATACTTGAATCGAACTCATCTCGCAACCGCCCAAGCCCGACCAAGTTCAACACATAAGTGACCTGGTGCAATGGTTCAATGATCTCCGTTGTTTCTGTCGAGTGAGTCAGTCTTGCTCGCTCTACTTTCTAGAGCTCTCTGTCTTCCTGTCCGCGCGTAGCCTTTGGCCACAATCACCAGTTCCTTCAAAAATCCACCCTTAGCATCCCGCCTCCAGGAGGCGGCACATCTCCAAAGCCTTGGAGTGTGAAGCACTCAGGAGCACGCCTGAAGTGTTGTGTTTTGCTCCCCTGTGCCTGTTGATCAACTTGCTCTTCAGCTGTTGTTAGCAAGCCTAAAGATCCTTCCCTCGAGCAATCATGCCCTGAGTGCCATGGTTGGGTGGGAGCTCTTCAGAATGTTGTGATTCCACCATGCGGGGATGTGTACAGTTGTCGCTGAATACGCATGGTGCGATTTTGTAACGGTAACCTTGCAGCCCCCCCCCAGGCCAGAAGAAAAATGTCCCAAATGCTCGGGGGAAATTCAAAAGCAAGCATGATCTTGGCAATCTTCGACAGGCCGGCGTCATCTGGTGGGGATTCAGCATGTTCCTTCAGCTTGAACCCGAAACTTGCACAACGCGATAGCAAGAATCGCAACCTCAAACAAATGAAAAAGCAAACTGGAGACGTGGACAAACACCTTCGAGTGCTTCATTTTCGTTGGCTGTGTTTGTTTTGCCTTTATTTGTTTCTCAGAATGTCTCTCAGAACGAGTCAGTCTCAAAATACGTGCCGTACGCTTTCTAATCGATTTTTAGTCTGAAGTGTTGTACTTCCACACATCAAAAACCAAGCTGAATTGGACCCCCAAAACATACCATCCCTCCCAACAAATCCCGTGTTTGAGCTCCCGCACGCAGGTCACCACCTCCGCGAAGCGCTCTTCGGAGCAGCCCTGCCTAGCGGCCAAAACGTTGCCGCGTTTCGCTCGTTTCACTTGCCTTTGGTTCGGATGTTCTCGGTGGTCGGGTTTGAGGTTTGAGGTTGAGGTTGGGCTTTGAGTGATCGTTGCCAGAAGATCCCTTGTGTTTCTTTGGTTGGGATCAAACTTACATATAAATGGACACGATTTGTTGGAACAACACGCGCACCGTGCTTGAGGACCACCCACCATCAGGGCAAAGCTGCGCCTTGAGAAATCATTGTTTGAGACTATCTGATGATGGCAGCCAGGCCGTTTTAGCTGAGCACGCCATAGCACCGAGGCAGTTGTGCCACACTGCAATCAAATCAATAGAGTATACCCGAACATTATGTCCCTGCCAAACTTGCTGGTGCGAATGTACTCCATCGCGCAAACAGCTTGGAATCGCAAGAAAGGATAAATCTGCAACTTGCTAGCCTTCTCCACATCTGCGTGCATCGGTGCAACACTGCGTTCTTTACTGTGATAATACTTGTCAGTACTACTGCCACCGGAGGATCTTCCTGCAGTCTGGGCTATTTTCATGCATTTCTGCACCATGCAATGGCCGGGTGCCGTGGTTGTGCCTGACCTGCGTTGGTGGTTGGTGCCCCAGCCGTGCCTCGTGTGCTGGGGCCAAACCAGCGGCTGCCCAATCAGCCTGCAAACCAGCGGTGGAGGCATCTCAGAGCATGCCGCTGCACACCCTTGCTGTCAAGCGGAGCGATGCGGGCAACCCTCGAAGCCACTGCGAACAGGGCAATCATTGATTGCAGGATCAACATCATTCCGTCACAGCTCTAGTGGCACATGCCCCGAACACGGAATCGGCACGAAAGGAAAGCTCAAAGTGCCATGGTTGTTGGGTGAATCGTCACCTATCTCGCTGCGAGCAAAATGTGCCAAAAAGTATGGGCTTGTCAGAATTCAGGTATAAGTATCAAGTATTGTATCGCGTCACCTTACGGGCATGCCTTGAACTGACCAGCGCTGCTGCGGCCACCTGCAACGAAGGCGTGAACCTGGCCGATTAGTGTCTCTTGGATGTGCGCTTAATGGGAGACAACCTTTGCCACTTCTTGACTGTGTGACTCCCAAGCAGGCAAATGTCGATTAGCCGGAGATAAGCAAACATCAAATGCAATGGCGCAATCGCGTGCATCGAGTGGCAGGGCAATGTAATGGCATGTAAGTCCGGGACGTCGAAAAGCGAAGACCGCACATGGCATTGACTGCCAATGGCCACGGTCAAACTCCGTGTGGAGGATGACCATGATCATGATTGAGGCCAATATGAAGGATTGAGTCCCGATCCCCATTCCCTGGCTGTCCAGTGCTGCGTTCCGCTTGATCTCCTTGCTATCTGACAGTGTTCTTTCCCCTTGCATCCACCCGTATGCCTCAGCATGTGGGTGTCCACGAGGCCCAGCTCTAGCAAGTACTGCGTGAGGAAGCGGCACTTCTGGCGGTGCTCCAGCTTGCGGCAACCCCAAACCAACCCGCTGGCTTCCTTTCAAATGCTATCAGGTGTCCCAAAGGTCGCACATTCTAAATGGGAGAAACTCACCAAGCACCACACAAAGCCAATCTAGTAGACTCACGAGAGCAGTGCCAAAACACGGCGACTTTCAGATCTGGTTGTTCGCGTTCAACTAGGCTGTGCTAAACTGGCCAGTAGTAGTTTTGGGCACTGCTCACATGCGAGCTACACTCTCGAACCTAATGGCCAGCTTTGCTTTGTCAAACCACAATGAACCTTCTGCAGCTAGCTTGTGCCCATGAAGCAGTTCCCCAATGCAAAAAGCTCGTTCCGCTGCCTTGAGGGTGTTTTTCTCCTGGTACCTGCAAAGGCACTGCCAGGTGCCATATGAAGTGGGGCCCCACTGTCAGCTTTGTCGCAAAAGCTGGTCTGCGCTTCGCTCATCCTTTCCTGCCCGCGTCACACACTGTGTGAGGGCACTGGTCCAAGAAGTGCACAGCAGTCGGCCGGCACAATCTGAACTCCAGAGCATTCAGAAGCGTCGCCTAAAAAGCTCGCGATTCTTGAGGCTCTTGCCCAATTGGCTCGTGCAACTAGTTTCGGGTCAGAAGCACTTGCGTTTTGCCAATGTGACAACTTCAGTCGCAAAACGGAAATCAAAGGCTAGTCCGACTCCCCTCCCCCGTTTCGCCGCAATCAACCCGGAGGCTCTGGCTCTGAGCTCGGGACCTCCATGGCCAGGATCCGCTCCTTGGAACATGCCTGAGCCATGCCATCGAGCTGCGCACTGCCCTGAAGCTAAGTTCCGGTCTCCCGTGAACCCGAAAGCGCTCTGTCTCAACAAATGGCAACCAGAACTGGCAGTTTGTTCATAACGGTACGGTGGAGCAGGCCCGGATTCCTGACGCAGCCAAGCACTTCGGAGTGCCTCTTGCGTCATGAGGACAAAGTCCCGCACATCCGGTGGCTCGATCTCCTCACAGACCCGTTGGCCACTCTATTTCGGGTGGTTGTGGAGAGTTCTCTGTCACCTAGGAGGGAGCTTTGCCCCAAATGACATTGGCCCCAGCAAACCTGGGCGCAAAATATTGATCTTCCAGAAAAGCCTCCTTTGCAACCGTCCCTGCCTCCCTGAGTCTGCCATTAACAGTGACATCCAAAAAACTGACGTCAAAGACAAAGCCAACGAGAACGTGACGTCAATCCCCGCGTCTCCTCGAACTTGGCGGCGGCGAAGAGGCACACGACCACCACCAGCTGCAGGTCCTTGCGCCTCACCTCCCGCAAAGCCAGGAAGCTGTCCAACAAGCTCACGGCCAGGAACAATGTCTCTGTCCTGCACGAGCTATGCAAAACAGCCAAGAAGAAACCACGGAAGCGGCCGCCCCTTTCGCGCCTTTTGCTCCCGACGTTTGGGGGGTTTTTGGTCTGGCCCATTTAAAGGGCTCGGTGGGTTTAGGGTGGGTTTGTTTAAGGTGCGCTTATTGTGGGGTTAGGGCGGTTTGGGGTGGTGCTTTTACATGACGCTGATGGAACCATTCCGATCCTGCGACATGGTTCGTAGCCGTGGTATGCAACTTGCAGTCTATGATTGTGTAAGTTGAAGACGCTGGTGCTGTCGCAACGCTTTCTGGACAGAACTCTTGCAACAAACGCTCTTGGAAGCTCTCGCAGGCGAAGCCTACGAAAACGCCACGCGGGCACGACTAAGTCTTGCGCGCCGAGCTGGCGCAGACAGAACTTTTTGCAAAAAACGTGCGCTCGGCACCACACATGTGACGACTGCCTTTCCAGACTTGCAAGTTTCATGCAAGGCAGCGCTATTGCGCAGCGCGCGCAGTCTGCAGGCTCCACGTGCAGTTTGCCGCGGGCAGAAGCTGAATTGCAACCTGGACACGGAAAACACCGGAAAGCTGGTGGCTGCGGCCAAAGCAAGCCGCGAAAGACCTTGCCGCGCGGTGTTGCTTAAACGGCCCGAGGGGAGGGTAAGGGAGACAAAAAGAGAAGGAGGAAGCAAAAGGACAAAGGACACAGGGAAAAGAATCGAAAAGGAACGGGAAGACGGCAAGCCCACAGCCAGAAACGTGCAAGCCAAAGAGCTTCTCGAAAGCGGAAGCTTAGACTCGCAGCCTGAGCACGACGTCTAACCAAAGCAACCTCTGAAAAAAGGCTGCATTTGCGCACATTGGCACGTTATTAAGGGTAGATTTAGGGTAGGCTTTGGGTGCCTCTAGGGGTAGGTTTAGGGTGGGTTTACGGTTGTTAGGTTTTGCGGTGGTTTAGCGTGGCTTTAGGGAGGTGGGTTTAGGGTGGGTCTAGGGTTGGTTTACGGTGAGTTTAGGGTGGGCTTTTGAGGGGTCAGGTCTGGTTTAGGGTTGGCTTAGGCTTAGGATGGGTTTTAGGGCACTTGCTTGCTTGCTGGCTCGCTTGACTGCTTGCTTGCTCGAATTCCAGGGGTCTGGAGAACATGATATGGAAACATACCCTCCCATCCACTAACAAGGCACCTGACAGGGGATCCCTTCAAGAGGAACTGATCTTCCAGGTACCCTTCCTCAGGTGCCATGTTAGTGGGAGGGAGGGTAATTCAGATTCTGAATGGCGTCTCTCAGTCCTCAGCCGATACTTGTCTTGCACCTGCCAAGCATGCAGTTGGCAATACAGTATGGGGGGGTCTGAGGGGATTGACTGGATCTTTCATGACATGGAGGGGCTGCTCCCTCAGAACAGCTGTGAAAAGCGGGTGTTTGAATTTGGCGTGCCCGACGAATGGCTGCCAAAAATAGATAGACCTTGCATGCAATTGCTGCGGGCCCGTGAAAACAGAGCGTGTGCCACTCTGCGATGCACCAAACATATTGGCGCTGAGGCAACCGAATGAATCTGAGATCTGACCTGACGCTGCAAGCACCCAGCCTCCACCAACCAATCCGCCGCCAAGGCCCGTTCCTCTGCATCCAGCTCCGGCTGGAACTGGCAGAGTTCAGAAATGCGCAACCTTTCACCAGTGGCAGGAGCAAGTGGGATATCCCATCAATGCCGATGCTCGGGTTGCCTGCTATTTCAAACAAGTGTAAAGAAAACTATGTCTGAGATTTGCTCGGTAGCATAATCAGTTCACCACCTGTCGAATGATGCGGCACTTTCCCTTCAATCAACAGACACCTTTTCGGCTGCAGTTCATGAGCTTGGTCGTTCCGTGAAAACAGCTCTAAGTGCGACAACAGAGAATTGGAAAGCTGACTCTGGAAATATCGCGCTATGCCGCCAAGCTAGCTGCTGAAAAATGTTGATCGCAAACAGCACACAGGAACGTAGAATGTAGGTGCAATAGCTCAAAGAGGACCTTCGTGTCTCCGCCTGGCCGTCAAAGATTCCCAGCGCCAAGCTAGCTCTGCACGCCCGTCAGCGCTTGACGCTCCAGCGTGTAGAAATTCAGGGCTCGATATAAGGAAGCAAGAACACTTTGGTCTTTGCCGCTCTGCAAGCCTCCGTTGCCGGTTTGCATCAACATGCCGGCTGATTTGCAACAAAAGCCGGAGGCTAGCCAAAGCACTCCTCGCTTGGAGGAAGCTTCTGTCTATTCTGTCTATCGACTGCTCATTCCTCTTCCATGGGTGCCGGGGTGTATCGATGTGCACGCGCGCCCGATGAGAAAGGCGGCTCATCCTGCAGAAAGTGACTGCTTCAAAAAAAATGAAACAAAATAACAGCAACACCAAGGGCGATGGAGAGATGTGGAAAGCAGCTAGAACAGCAACAGCATCACTGCCAACCAGGTTCAACATCAATGAAGCTCCTCCTGCGTATATGTTGAAGGAGAACTCACTCCAAAGGAGCACTATGATGGCAAAAGCAAGCATCAAAATCACGCGGGGAATGCGCCCGTTCCGCAGCAAGGTGCGAGGCGTGGAGTGGCTCCATCTACTTTCAAACCCCCCACGCATCTCTTGCTAAATGGCAAGGACTTTCCTTGCCCGCCAACCTTTTTTTCCCCGACAAGTTCCAGGCGCAATGCCAACCCGGGCTCAACTCCCCGTGAACGACTGGCTCGATTCCTCGTAGCCCCTGGAAAAGCGCTGGCCCATCGCCACAAGGCCCATAAAGCCTGCGCCGTGGGAACGATTGCTTTCGTCCATTTCGCTGCATGTTGCTCATGCAAGGATGTGTCTTGGCTCGGCCATCATGAATTCGTTGACCTGGACTTGTGCAAAACAAAAATAGCCGACACTGCAGAAGTTGTGTTTCTTTGCAAAAAGGCAATGAGATACGTTGCTGGTATTCGGCAAACAGTATGTAAAGCATTGCGAATTTGAATGGTGCTAATGCCGGGATGTGTTGTCTTGAAGAAATCCAACATGTCAAACATTATGCTTCTTCTTGGTCGGGCAACTTTGCCGACTAGCAAGCTGCATGATCATGTGCGTTTGTGCAGCTCAAGCAAACAAAACAGGCCATGTTTGGTGCGTGTGGGATGCTAGCAGTGATTGCTCTGAGACAAACCTCTGATACGTGTGCTGGAGATTGTGCATTCTGGAAATAAATTTGAAAAGGGTCAAGAAATGGTCCTGGCTTTGCATCCTGCTCCCCGAGTGATTGTCTGATCACTCGAAACCGTCAAACTTCAGACAAGTAGAAGGTGCGCCGCTGCCCAAGCTACCAAGCGGATGAACGGTCAGCGTCGTTCTCTTGCTTGGTTGAAACCACAGAAATGAAAACTGGGAACCGTGGCCACCCCCTACAGCTTCAGCAACTACGACGATCAGAAAATCGACAACCCTGTAGCCATTTGGACTGAAGAAATGGTGCCTCGGGCCTCCTGATCCCCCTCCTTTTTGACTGCAATAGCTCCACCCCTCCCAGTGTGACTACCTCAAAAGCTGGAAACCCCCCAGAAAAAGTTAGGGGGCGGTTTTCTGGGCCGAAGAAAAAACATCGAGGTGGGGCGGGGGGGGCTGGACGTGAGCCGGGCAGCTCATGGAGCCCAGCGCAAAGGCCGCCAGAAGCTCCGCCATGCGGTGGCTCTCCACCTGCACCCGGCGTGCCTGGGCCTCTGTACCCGTTGGGTTTATCAAGGGCAACCAATCGAAAGCTTTTGAGAGCCCCAACGCGGAGGTCCCAAAAACAAAGGGAAAAGGCCGCTGGTGGTGCATTCGGCTTCCGAGCAGAAGTCCCAAAAAGATATTTTGAATTCTGCACCTTCTGGAAAGGAAGACAGGTGCATGGAATTTATGATTCGGGTAGCTGCAGAGAGAAGAAGGCTAGGCTCTTGTTCGCCCGAGGGATGCCATGGTAGGTGGCAGAACAGGACGAGGGGATGATGGAAAGGCTGCGTGTATAGTCTGATCAGCCCAGAGCTCGAAAACATGCGCGTTGCCTGCAACGCTTCAGTGCTATGGAGCCTGCGTTCTTTGGGGATGGAGCCCTGGCAAAGCGAATTTGGTGCAAACAAGCGAGTTTCACATTCAAACAAATCGTTACGATCTCAAAAACCACATAGGAACAGCAAAATGAAAACAACGGCGATGAGCGCCCACTGACTGGGTCGGCAAACGCCCCCTGAGTTGGCCGCGCTCTTAGCGCGGTCTTTCAGCTCATGGAACTTCTCTTCCAAGGCATCAAGGCCTGGCACACGGGAAGCATCAAGGCCTTCGCAATCTTGCAAGCTTGGACGTTGAATGATCCAAAATCCCAAGCTTTTCAGCAAATACCTTCGCACAGCCTTGGATTGGCAACTGAGCCAGAATTCGGCGATGCAGAGCTGGCAACTGCAGTTTCACATACCATGTAATGAAAAAGGATTCCATGACCCTCTGATTCCAGCAAACTGATTCTTCTGTCAGGTCCTGTTCCTTGCAGAAAGTGGCACGCCGATTCGTGTAGCATAGTGCAGCCCAGAACTACCTTGTTGCTGTTGAGCTTGGCGAGTGCTGACAATCCTTGCCAGTTGCCAGCTATGAAAACATCAATCCCTGCCTTGCATTCCGTTCATGCCGTATTTGCTGACGGCGTACGGCGATACCGTCTGCATGTGGGCCTGCCACGAGGTAAGAAGTGACTTGCTGCTTAAGCAAAAGGATACTCTCTTACGCGAAATCATCCGCTAATAATAATAATAATAATAACAATAATAATAATAATAATAATAGGTACCCTTTTCGCGCCCCGCACCACTGTTTTTGTCCCCAATCTCCTGCCCCAGCCGCGCCCAGGTCAATCTGCTCTCGGCTCCGAGGGGGCTGGGGGGGGGGGGGGGTGGCAGGGCGCGAAAAGGGAGTATACCGAATAATATATACATATATATACACAGTTATATACTGTTATATACAGTTATATACACATATAATCTATTCATATGTTTAAAGTATTTCTATAAATGTGCTCAAAGAAGCCTTGCTGCGGGTCCATGGCCTCCAGGTAGCGCACGCGCGTGCGCACGCCGTTCGGGCCGCAGCTCACTGAGCAGTCGCCCCATCCGCGCCAGTCTGACCAGGCGCCTGGGAGTGGAGCCGTCAACACAAGCGTTGAGCACAAGGCCACATACAAAAACGATTTGTACAGCTTACCTAAGCAAAGCAGCTGCACCAGAGCAGGGTGATTTCTGACTAATTGTTCCGTTTAGTTGTTTTGTATGTGTTGCGAAGAGAACGATCCAAGGGTTCGCCTTCCTTCAGTTTCTGACAAATCTCAAGGTCCAGCCACAAATCCCTCACGAGTGAGAATGACACACGTGTTGTCTGAAATGTTTGTTCAAGGCGCAGAAGGTGGGGGTGTGGCAAATCCGGCTGCAGTTGGAGATCTCCTCCGCGTACCTCTGCTGGCAGACTTTGCCGCCGCAATCTGCTTGCACCCGCACCTTGGCGCAAGCCGCACTGATCAGCTGACCAACAAAAGACCTGATGCGTTTGCTCAAGTACCTCAGGATACGCCGGCTTCGCCCAAGTTGCACATTGACAGCATGCAAGTGTTGGCTGAGATGAACCGAGTCCCAGAGTTCAAGGAGCTGCTGATGCATTCATCAAAGCACGCACGACGGTCAATGGACAAGGCAAGAGATCCGTTGAGCAAATCTTCGACAGATGTGATTCAGCTCTGGTGCCTGGAACCTGGACGAGCAGACTCCTACAGCCTCTTGTCTCTTGCAACAACCAAGTCTTGCTTGCAGGTGTCATAGAGCGCAGGAAAACACATCACCGTTAGCAGACATCTTCCCAGCTCATAACTGAAGTCGGCTCAAAGCCAGACAATGGGTGGAGGTTCGTCCCGGGGGCACGGTTCACCTGCCCTTGGATTCCGGTCATTTGCACACTCACCAACCTCCTGTCATTTTTGCCCGCTCAAGCACGCACTGGCGTGGGGCAGGGTGGCACTCAGATTGCGGCCGGTCATCTGCACACTCACCCGCTCAAGTACGCACTCAGGCTGGGAGGCGGGGTGGGTGGGGCGGGGCTCAGTGGCTTGGGGTGGGGTGGTGGGGTGGGGTGGGGTGTGGGGCGGGGCGGGGCGGGGCGGGGCGGGGCGGGGGTGGGGCGTTCGCGGGTTTGGGTCACAAACGACCGCTTCGCTGAAACAGCGCGTGCACGACCAAAACCGAGTGCACAGACGACCGCTTTAGCGAGTGCACAAACGAACCCCTGCCCCGTCCCGGAGCCAAACAGCCGTAAGATGAGCAAAAACGATCTCGACAAGCGCAAGCCTTCCAAGTCCGAATTGACAGCATCTCCGAATTTGTGCCCAGCCGCGTGTCGGTAGCGCTTGCGCTGTCCGCCACACTTGTCACAGGCACCCCACATGTCCCAGTCGCCCCAGATGCAGTCCACGGGCCTCAGTCAGAATGTCAAAGTCAAACAGCCTGAACAGCTCAAGATAGGGCAAATGGCAAATCTGTCCCAGCAGAGCGCGGCACTTCACTCAAAGTTTGACCTTGCGATTGGGTTGCTCTTCAAGCAATGACACAAAGCTCCGCAACTGCC